ACCGCAACATGGTTCACTGTGCAGCACCGTGTGGATGGCCGTCCGCTGTTGACCTGTGGGGAAGAAGGAAGAGTTACCTGTCGACAGCAGAGCCTATAAAGACGCATCAGGAAGCTGAGCACTGCTCAGGACCAGGGCCAAGGTAGGTGAGCGTCGCTAGTCATGTTGGCCGTCCACCCAGCATGAAAAACAAGGCCAGGCAACTCGCCCCATTCAAAGCCACGTCTTCTGCTCCCACAAACGAGGTCAGAGGACCCCAGGGCTTGACTTCTTCTTGCTTTGCCACCTGGCTTGAGTAGCGTACACTGGGGTGTCGCTTAGGCTGCCTAATCCCAAGACAGAGCCCTGTTGGTACGAACGGGAGAATTCTGTCCCACCCTTACTAGAAAGCACATGAACAACAGATTCTAGTTAGTTAAGCCCAAATATTTACAGCACCTGCAGTGGCTGCTGTTTGCCTCAGACAGGTAAAAAACAACCAGACACACCCTGGTTTCTCTCTGCCTCCCCCTGCTCTGTATGTCTTATTTTTAAAGGCTATACAGTTCAGTTCTGGACAACCAACTGGGCAAAAAGTTTATCAGTGTCTACGTACCTTCCCTTCAGTGAAAGGGAGTTACCTCATTGGTCTTGTGTAAATGGCACTCTACCCCAGAACTGAAAACAACTTCTGATATCTTTTTGATAAACAGCAAAATTGTGTCAGTGGTTTTTTTAAGCATGGGTGGCTGTTAGTAACAGAATTCAGAGTGTGTAGAAGATCTCTGAATTTAAGTTGTATTGCTGTGCCTATGATAAAGGAACCCCTCCTGCCACTAAAATAATTTTCAAAGACGTAGTTTTCCTCAGAGGCTTCAGATTCATTACCTGAATCCAGGTAATGCTGAAGAAGGATTGTTGCCAGCTAGTTCCCATTCATATCTGGTTTCTTCCCCAACCTGGCACCTCCTCTATTTTCGAGTACAACCCCCATGATTTCAAACCATGTGCCACACTAGCTGGGGCTGATCAGAGTTGATGTCCAAAGCAAAGAGGGTGTACGTTCAACTCCACAATGCCAAAACAAATAAAATGATCAAACAATGTGATATGGTCCCCTTGAGTGGAAAACTGGATCTTACAGTAGCATGACCCAACTTGAGTTCTGCCAAGCTTACTTGAAGACAAGAGGAAGACTTCAAGAGAAGCAAAGGTAGGCAAGGGAAGAGAACCCTTCCCTTGCTTGTGCCTCCTGCCAAAATCTCAGTGCACCATGTTTTGCCAGTGGGTTTTTTGAACCCCCTGGGAGGAAAAAAGGCTGGGCAAAGAAGTTGCGTCATGAAATCAAAGGCAAGGACGGGTTTCACATTCCCTCCTCCCAACCATGATGTACTTTCCATCGTCTCTGGCGCATTTTATGTGGATATGGCACCAACCTGACTCTTACACATGGTCTGTTGCCATCGTGTCTAGCTTGGATGAAGGCATTCTTTTGTTACAGCCTGGGGAACTGGGCATGGAGGCATAAAGGTCTGTGCATCTCAGAAGGATGGAGTGGGGGAAGTTGTTCGGAGAACATGACATGCTACGTAAGGGACAGCAGTTCCAACAGTACACTGCCTAAGTGCTTTTATTCTATTACGCGACTGCAGCATGTAGCAGAGTCGTGAAATAATGGCTGATTGCAGCATGGAGCACCCATGGGACGGCATATCCAGAATCAATTTAAGCAGAAGGCCTATCACCAGATCAGCATCACCAAAGCAGGAATATGAAAAGTATTCACGATCATCCAAACCAACCTGCTCCATATCAGTATTGAAATTCCTCCCCCAAAATCATTGTGTCATGACCTGTCATTACATGCACACTTGGAAACATGTGTGTGTACCTTGTGTGTGTACTGGAACATTATTTTGTGCAGTGCATTTATAGAGTGCTGATAGCATGTAAGTGGCAGTGCAAGTTCAATCAAGCATGTTTTTATTTTGTCATTTTTGCTAAAACAAAACATAATCCTACTTTGCATCCTTTTTAAAAACTGGATTAAAAAAAAGACTTGTATTGAAATCAACATCAGATGGAAAGAGTGTTTGCAGTTTGAAGTTTGTGAGAAGCAGAACTGGTACTTCAGGCTGCAGAAAGACTTTAATGTACTTGGATCCGGAATGTGAGGCAGGGGGATGAAGGGGAGATGAAGAGGAAAGATCAAAATTCCACCCAGGGATGGAAGAAAACAAGCATAACCGAGCAGAATCTCTTGTGAAACATTCTGTTTTATCTTTAAGGAGGTTCCTAACACCAGGAGGCTATTGATATACCTAAAGTGATTAGTGTGATTCATTCAACCGTATACTTTTTGTTTTATTTAATCAGTTTGTTAACACCTTAGAACAAACACTTAAAGAAAAAGGAAGAAAGATCCAAGTAGAAGGTACAGCACCAGGGACCCACCAAAGATTATGACTTTATTGATCATAACACAGGGATCATAACACTGGGTTTTCTTCTAACAAAGTTAAGCCTATTTAAATTTCAGCATTTCCTTCAGAGCCTATGTTCTAAATTTTGTTATTTCACAATGCTATGTACAGTGCTTTCCAGGCAATAATGCATGTGGAATTATCTATAACCAATGATTAGGCTGGAAAGCTCCATTTTGCCACAAAAAAGATAAGAAATGTTCTGCATTCTGCTGTTTCAAATACCCCAGAATAAGTTAAAAGCTTTCTGCATCTGAAGCACCACAAACATCCACCCTGAGTCTGTAGAAATGCCTTCAGAAGAGCAGGGGGTCATTATCATGACAGTTGCTCAAAGGGAGCATCTCATTAACCTAAGTGCAACATCAATCATGCCAATCAACACCCAGCTGGGGAACAGGCAAAGCAAGAGCAAATTATTCCTCAGGAAGAAACTGCTGCCTAGGGAAACAACTCATTTACAACCCGCGGCTTCCTTCCCAGAGGTAATGGAATCTTCCCCTGCAGCTTCGGAGGTGAAGGCACTTAGCCCAAGTGGAAGCTGCGTCTCCTTTGGGAGCAGTGCCCGTCGCTCTTGGGGGCAAGTGAGATACTGTGAGGAAGCCCAGGCAGCAGGCAGAGCTCGCTCGCTTGTAATCCTGGAAGCACATCCTACTATGACATTTACATTAATGCAGAACATTTGCTTCTGTGTGTACTCCAATCCCTTGCCTGCAGCAGGGGTTATTTATTTGTGATACTTATCTATGGACAAATGTAATAAAACCTCTAAGTGGTTGTGTGTTCAAAGAATGTGCATGGGATAAATACACAGAGAAGGGCGACGGCATCCATTGAAAAAGCAGTGTTGTAGCTGTGCTTACAGTGTTGGGAAATGCAAATTCAAATCCCCATTCAGCCATGAAAGTTCTCAGCCCAACCCACCTCTCAGGGGTGTTGTGAGGATAATATTGTGAAGAACAGGGAGCATATATGCTGCCTTGAGTTCCTTAGAGGAGAAGCAGGACAGAAACGCAATGAACAGATAAATGTGGCAGTATGAAGTACAAAGCAGCTGAGATCCTACCTACCCCACAAGAAGTTCAAGCATCCGGTTGGGATAAGAGACACTGGCTGATTGGATACCTAAAAGAAGACAGAAAGAACAGCTTGCACTAAGCAAGTAATAAACGCAAGTTTTCCTTAGCTTAAACAAAGAAAAAGAGAGGGAGGATCTCTGGCCTTCCAGACGTTGCTGGACTGCAATTGCCATCCTCTCTGACCACCCGTCATGCTGTTTGGAGCTGACAAGAGTTGGGGTCCAACACATCTGGAAGGCTATAGGTTCTTCACCCCTGATTTAAAGGATGGACGTAGAATATGAGCATCAGTAAGACTTTTTCTGAATGCTGACATGCCCCCTGGCTTGTGGGGATTGACTTGTCTGCCCTGATAGAATAATCCACCTTCCCCTAATAATCTTCAGAACATGCAAAGGCAAGCTGCAGATAGGGAAAGAACAGCACTTTGTACATTCTCAGGGGCATTTGTCATTTTTTTTCAGGATTCAAACTCAGTTTAAACCCTGCAAAGTTCAATTAGTAAGGACTTCATTATGTTGACAATTCCTAGAAGGCATTCCTAGCTGTGTTAGTCTGTTGCAGCAAAAACAACAGCCATGTGACACCCTAAAGATGAACAATTTATTGTGGCATAAGTTTTATGGGCGCGCGCGCGCGCGCGCACACACACACACACACACACACACACACAAAGCTCCTGTTCAACATCACTAATATAAGTTGAGGTAGGTTGACCAAATGTTGGAATGAGTGTTAAGACAAAGTTGTTGTCAGTAGTATATTCTGTATTGCTTGCATTTCAACTCTCTTTGGCAAGAGAGTCCACATTTCCCCTGCCACCAGCACTTTGCACAAATCTATCAGTTTAGGATTCAGACCTCTTGTATCTTATAAAGTGTCCAAAAAGCCTCTGCCAAAATAAATGTTATCATCTTTAAGGTACCTCGGGCCTCTTTGTTGCATGATTAGACTTCGCCATGAGCAGGTAGAGCCAGGGGCAGTGTCCGGGTATTTGGCACCATGCCTGACAGTTCACCAAGCAAGGCTCCCCAGCTCCAGCTGCTCCCACATACTGCATCAAGCTGTACTACTTGATAACGATTTACAAGGATGAGATTGGCATCTGAAGAAAGATCGTTGCTGTCTGCTTCCTTTCCTCAACCCAGGGCTCCCAGATGTTCTGAGACTTCATTCCTGACCATTGGCCATACTGGCTGGGACTGATGGATGCTGAAGTCCAAAGCCTTCGGAGGGCACCATGAGAGCAAAAGGCTCTCGGCACGTGTTCAGAGGACCACCTCTCGTCGAAGCGTGTTTCGAGCAGGTGCCCAGTGCGCGCGAACTTTGGTGCACGAACAAGGCTTTAGCACCCCGCCCCCCGGCTCATGCTGGAGGAAGGAGAGGCTGGAGGAAGGGCAAGAGCAGGCTGGTTACCTGGTCTCCTTCCGACATGGAGAAGCTAGCGCCGCACCGGTCGTTACACCAGTCGCTCTCCCATCTTCCCCTGCTCCGGATGAACAGTGGGGCGCAGGCGGCCGAGCTCCACGGGCCCCATGGCTCGGAGCGAGGCTGCAGTTCTACGGCCCTTCGCTGGAGGGCCGCAATCCGGCGGCAAGGAAGGCGCAGGCGCTGGCCGGCGGCGCTGGGACAGGCGCTCCGAGAGCTTGACGGCCAGGAGCAGGAGGCTTGCCCGGCTGCTTGGTTCGCTCGGCCGCGGTCGCGCCCCGGGCGGAAGCTCTTCGGCCGGCACCCCGCGCAGGTTCCCCGAGTACCAGAAGAGCCAGCAGAGCAACGACAGGAAGAGCAGCAGCCCGCCGGTGAGCACCAGGAAATCCTCGAAGGATTGCCCTCTCAGCTCCGGCTTCCCCACGGCGCCCGCCAGCACTAAGGCCAGCCCGGCAGCGTCCAGCACCAGCGCGGCCAGCAGGAAGGCCGCGCAGCGCCCGTAGCAGCGCTGGGCCATGCCCGGACTGGCGGCGGAGCATCTGCGGGCGGGGAAGCGGCGGCAGCCAAAGTCCCCAACCACGCCCGGTCAGGTGCGGACGGGCCACACCCCCTCTGCCAGCCCGGAGCCGCGGACGAAGCTCAAGTGCAGACCGGGCCACGTCCCCGCTGGCCGCACAGCGAGTGCGCGCGGGCGACCGGGTCTCCTGCCGCGGGGCGGGCGAGGGAAGGCGCCGCGGGCCCGCCGCTCCAGAGTCCCGGGCAAGCACGGGTGTACCCCCGCCCTCCGTTCAGGGGCTGCCAGCCCCATCGTCCCCCGCAGATATGGATCCGGGTCACTTGGGTGTGTAATGGTTGGTGTTGAACTTCGCATCCAGCTGCTCCTCTCCACCCCTCAACTCCTACCGCCACTACGTAGGGGCAAACTCCGTATCTCCATCGGTACCCGGAGGGAAAGGGACACTCGGAAGGCGAAAGTGACTGACTGGGTGGGCACAGTTCTCTTTCCCCTAGCCACGTGTGGAGATTGCAGTCTAGATTGGGTCTGTATGTGCTTACATAGAGGCAAAAAAGGAAAAGATGGATCAGCTGCATGCTGCATATTTAAAGCAGCACGAAACTTTGCTTTTGGAAAGAGGCTTAGATGGAGGGTAAGACCTTTTCCTGGGAACAACTGCTTGATGGAGCTCCCAGCATTCCCCTCCCTGCTTGTGCATTGACTTAAGCTCACCCCAGGGTCTCAGGTCCTTTGCTGATGGGGTGCTAGAATTCTTGGGGTGGGGAACAGCAACTACACCTTTCATGCTCTGCTTGTCAAAGGCTTCTGCATGACCATCTATTGGAAGCAGGATACTGGGGTATACTGGTCATACCCAGCACAGCTGCACTTGTCTTTTGCCTTCCCAAGGAGGTCAGGTGTCCCTGGAATGTGCCCATTTTATCCTCACGAGAAAGGAGCTAATGAGGTGAGTTAGGTTGAAGGGTAGTGATTCGTCCAAGTGATTGTTTTTGTAAAAGGAGGCATCTTTCTGATCTAGGCCCTGGGCCCAGTACAGTGGCTGTCCCTGAGGAGACCCTTCAATTTCTTTCCCATTGTCATTTATTAAAAGTGGAGGGTGGGGGTGAGGGGAAATAAGGAATCAGCAAAAAAAGCAACCCACACGTTTGTCTTTCTTTATCACCCTGACTCTGAACTTAACTTGTTGGTTAATAGGTGTAAAGTTGCCATGAATCCTTGCAGTATCATTTCAAACACACACCCTCAGGAAGATCAGCCAAGAACTGGCTTCAGGCCTCATTTGCCCACTGACCTGTGCCACAGGTGCAAGCGCACCCCTTCCTTGTATGGCTCTTGTGCGCATGCTAATGAATAATGACAGACTCTTCCGGTTCAGTGCTAACATTTGCCACCTGAAATCAGCTTCCCCTTTCCTCATGTTAAATTAAAGGGTATTGACAGGTAATTCATCTGTGTTGATCTCTGATACTGTTTATTTAGTCATTTTGGGGCTTTTGTTTAAGCTGGACCACTTAAGGGCCAGGGATATGTAAGGGCAAAGCATAAGTTTATGAATCTAAGTACCATCCATGAAGGTGAGTGTGAGGGATCAGGATTGGGACTGCAGAGTTTAGAGAGAGGGGTTAGCCTCTTGCCTTCTCACGATGTTCCCCTTGAAAATTGTCCTCCCTTGAATGTGCATTCATTTATATTCTCTCTTTCCTCCATTTTATCCTCAGAACAGCCCTGCAAGGTAGGTTAGCCCAAGAATGAGTGACCAAAGTCACATAGTATGCAGCTTGATGGTTGATGTTTGAATTTGTTAAACAGGGGATGTTGATTGTAATTGGACAATTAATGACATGCCTAGATTAGCCATGAGAGTTCCAAGGCATTGTGGTTTTTTTGCTAATACAGAACTAGCTGCATTTGATTGTGAGAAAAAAGTGTAATTATTGTTTTTATCTCATGTTTCTAATGTATTTGTCATTGCCCAGAGAATTTAGATTATTGGGCAGCTTAAAAGTGTAAGAAATAAATTAATTTCCTGTTTTTCTGTAGAGTGGTAAAGGAAGCACTTTCTTTAAAAATAAAATGTATTATAAACCAGTCCACATTTTCTTTGTATTGACTGGCTTGACATTAAATAGCTCTGTACCTTTTTAAAGAATAGATTGCCTGTCAGCATGTTTGATGAAGTGTTACCCTCTGCCTCTCAACTTCATGGACTTCCTCGCCTTTTCCAGGAAATAGAAATATCTTGAGCAATGTTTGTTTCTACTGGATTCTTTAAGACTTGCTCTAGCCAGGTGCCACTGGAAAACACAAGAGAAAGCCTGTTCAGGCAACATCCCTAGACCAAATTCCAGACAGAAGAGGCTTGCCTACAAACAGATAAGGAGAGAAATGTTGGTGACAAAATGAACCTCTGACCCCTTAGAGGCACAAAATCAGTTAAGCTTGCTCTGGGCACTGGTTGCTCACAGTGGCTGCCTTTACTGTTGGATTTTCTGAGCCAGTTGGGGTTTAGCCAGGAAGAGAAATGACAAGTTTCTGTCTTGTTTTCAGCTGAAATAGGAACTTGTGGTTCCATCCCTTACCCTGCAACCTTGTGGTGGCAGGTATTTCCCCCAAGTGTAATGTGTGTCCTTGGCCGGTGTGACTGGTCTGTCAGATAGCACCTCGCTCTTTCCCTCCCAGCTCTTTCACCTTTGTGTCCTGCGTTCAGCCTGGAGGGCATCGGGCAGTAATCTCTACCCATCCTTAAATGGGAAAACATGAAGAACGAGCTTTTCCAGGACCGATTCAACTGACTTTGAAGTAAATGGAGAGAGGAAATTACTAAAACCTTTTGTTACACTTAAGCAACGATTGCAATTTGAGACTCCGACACAGAAAGTTTCCTTGCTTAGGTGCATCCCTGCATTGCTAAAAGGCAAGGCTGCATGCAGGGCAAGAGCTTTGTTTGAGAGTGGCAGAAAGGGTCGTTTCCAGGATAGCTCTGGATTTCATATCTGAGACCATCCCTGGGTCCCTTTAACTAATGACAGCCAGAAAGGGTGGGATGGACAGAGTCCATGTACACCACAGGCAACTGACTCAAATGCACCTAGCTATTGTCCTGGAGGTTTAAATAGACAAACATTGAATCTTTTGATTGCAAGGCTAATCAAAGCTAAAGATACTGGGTGCAATTTCTCCAGCTTCTCTACTTCTCAGTGCCCCCCTTGTTGGCATCAGGACATGACAACCGCCCCACCAAGGAGAGAGCACAGCCTATGTATTTGAAACAGTAAAAAGTTACCATTGAGATGAGAAAATAACCCACGGGTGAGAGTGCCATTAAAATGTGGGCTCTTCGTGTTCCACTTCCGTTCTCTTCCTGTGATTTCTTGCAGGCATTCCCCATGCATAAACGATGTATAATCTTGGCCACTGTAGGATTGTGGGGTGAAGGTGCCAGGCTGAGTGGATGCACCTTCGGCAGCCTGCCTATTGTAAAGTAATTTGGCATAAGGGCATGTAGGCAGTCATAGCTATTCACTCTCTTGCTTTGGTAAGCACTTGCAGAGCCCAGCAACTTGCAAACTTGCAACCATTTTGCATGGCAGGGAAAGCTCTGCAACTGATTGACTTAACTTTCAGCATGAAAAGCTGAAGGGCTGTCCCTCTGGTCCCGAGACCCAACAGTCTGGAGATAGTTGCATGCAGGTAGGTGCTTTGTGTAACTGTGCAGGGATCCTTCTGAGAGAGGGCTGGGGATGCAAACTTTTTTACCTGCCTCACAAGGTAGGTGGGATGACACTTTCCTGTTCAATCCATGCTATGAAACTGTTGGGAATTCCAGTGGATACCTTCGTGTTAGGCATGGAAACCCTCTATGCTGTTCCTGTGCAGACCAAGATTTTGCTTGTTCTCCCAGGACTCCTGAAATCTCTTTCATTTAGTCCCTTTTTCATACTGATTGTTGGCTTACAGTACCCACTGGTTACTTTTAGGTCCTGTGGTTTGGGTTTGATCGTGGTTCTCTTTGTGTGGTGGGACTTTTATGCTGTATTAGAGTTTCAAAAGTTATTGCTGGATTTTAAAAAATGGTACAATTGTTTTGTTTTTCATTGGTTTTCATTATGCCTGAGGAACTTGCTTTACAGGTACCTAACAAATGTGCACAGTAAAGGCTCGGAACAAAATATTTACTTGGAAACTAAGTGTCTCTGTTAACTGCTGCTTACTCCTGGTCAGATGTGCAAGATTGTAGTTTGCCTTGCGCATTTAATATGCACCCAAACATGCATCATCAGCCACTGATTGTACAACCTCTGAACTCCTCTGATGTTGGGAACGCCTCACCTAATATTGCAGGCATCCAGCCAAGCGTGTGTGTACAATACACTTGTCAGATGTGCCGATTGCAATCTAGCAAGAGGAGCTATGCACAGATCAGCTTTGTTGGATCAAATTCTTGGTGTACAAAAAGTGGCACAATAATTAAATCCTACTGCTGCAATGGCAAGGGAAGCGGGAAAGAGGGCTCGTTATCCTTGTAGCCTGGCAGGCTGTGGCTGCGCCTGCCATGAGAGGGGCATGCATCACCTACCTGAGTTCTGGAGAGACAGGAGGGAGAGCAACATGATCTGAAGGCAAATAAGGCTTCCACCATGTTAAAGCTCAGCAGGTCTGGGGCTGTCCTGAGCTTGGAGGGGAGACCACCTGGGAACCGCATGTAGCCATCTTGAGTTCCACAGTGGGAGAAAGGTGGAAAACAAATAAACAGACACAGGCAGCTGCTTTATGCTGAGTCAGAATTAGTCCTTGAGAATATTAGAAGAGCCTTGGTGACTCGGACCGAAGGCTTCTCCATACAAGTGTTCTGTTCACACAGTTGCTAACCAGCAGCTTTATGCTGGGCCAGAATAATACGCTCATCTTGCCTGCACCAGCCTGTTGCCCTCCAGGTGAGCTGGACTGCAGCTCTCATCACGCTGCCTGTGCCACTTGCAGTTCAACACATCTGGGAGAAA